AGAGTTAAATGTGGCCTTAAAGAAAGATTGAGAATCATGGTGTAAGAATTACAGGGAGAGAGAGACATTCAAATCAGAAGTCAGAATGGAAACATGACATTGCTTTTAGTGAAGGAATTGATAATATGTAATTTTCCCTGCATGATTCTGAATTTTTTTATTCTATTTTCACATTCTAGAAGACTTAGTTATTTGTATTTTAATGATCTGCTGAGGGTTGCAGTGAGAAACAAATAAGAAAATGTAAATGACAATTTTATTATTAGGAACACTGAATAATTTTAATTATGTATTCAGTGGATGTAGAAAGTTAAATGTTTCTAAGGATTAATTCCAGTGAAGAAGATAAATTCCAGATATATCTATAATAATACCTGGAATTCAGTTCATACTTTCTTTGAATTGGTAACACTTCCTGCCTCATCTTCTCTGCCTGCCGTTGATACGGCTTCTTGTCTTAGGTGGAAGACCGAATGTCAAAGCCACATACCACCAGGTCCACCCACCTGCCCTGAGTCCTGTCCATACTCTGCCTCCCTCCCGTCACTCTGGACAAATTCTCCATGCTTCTAGTTAAGTCCAGCTGCCTTATATTCACACCAGATCATACACTTCTCTGGTAGTTAGGCTGCAGTCGTCCTTGGACTTGAGCCTTCTGCTATCTCATGCTAGAAATCTACAATGAGTTCTAATTTCTTCTAACTTAGAAAAACATTCTAGGGACCAGCCGATGATGTAATGGTTACATCGTTGGACTCCCACATGGTCGACCCTGGTTCAGACCTGTACCCTGCAGTCTGTAATGGTTACATCGTTGGACTCCCACATGGTCGACCCTGGTTCAGACCTGGACCCTGCATCGTTGGAATGTGTGTGCATGCCCAAGATATTGAGAGGAGAATGGAGGAGTGGCCAGTCCCTCTGAGGGATGATTTCTCACTTTCTGTCTCTCTGTCTCTCTCTGTCTCTCCAGTGAGTGCATGTACCTTATAGCAAAAATCTCTCTAGAAAAGATTGCATGTTTCTGCTACAATAAAGGGGAAAAATAAAAAGACTCTGTCAAAGAGGTGGTGTCTGCAATAACTCTAATTCCTTTCTACCTAGTCTCATGAATTTATTTCTGAGTCTTTTACTTCAGCCTCTTTACAAAAGCTTCTCTTGTGAAGGGTAAACATGACCTCCGTGTTGCTAAATCAGTCGCCAGTTTACAGTCCTGACTTCCCAAGACTCTTGGGCTTTACTTCTCACTTCCTAGGCAGCTTTGGCGCTCCATTCTTGTTGGTTCTTCCCATTGTTCTCACATTTTTATGCCCTGGTACCCCAGGGACAAGTTCTCAGTCCCTCCCTTTACATATTCAGCAACACTTGATTTTTCTCATCCAGATCATGTTTCTGCCTACCTCGTATATGCTTACATATCCTAACTTTTATTTCCAACCCCGATTTTCCCCTTAAATGTACACTAATGCATACTGACCTCTCCTCGGGCCTGTACATCTAATACTCCCAGGCAGAACAGATGCAAAACCAAACCTTGATCTTTCATGGCAAACCTTTTCCCACAATTCCTCCGTTTCTAGAAATGGCAAATCCCTCCTTCCAAGCGCTCTTCTTTATTTGACACCCAACATCTTTCCTTATGGAAGGACTTTGTAACTTATCCTTTCCTTCAACCTTAGTCCCCTAGCCTTCATTCTCGACAGTTGAGCCAACGATCATCGACTTATACCAAGGCTTCTATCGCCTCTGCTCAAAATCCCCCCACAACGTCTCCTGTAACTTAAAGTAAAACTCATAAAAGGCCCCTAGGGCACTGGAACTTCTGGTCTGTGTTCTTTCTTTGACCTCATTTTCCACAGATTTCTCCTTAATTGAGTCTATTCCTGACAAAATAGCCTTTGCTGTCCTCAAACTCTCCTGGAAGGTCTCCACCTCGGCGCCCCTGAAACTGCGGTTCTCCTGCCTGGGGTGTTTCACACGGACACCACGAGGGGGTCACTCCTTTCTAGCCTTCCCGTTTTGCCCACAGGACTATGTGGGCCTTCCCATCCTGCAGTCTTTCACATGCTTTATTTCCTTGACAGTACTTAGTGTGTTCTGACGTATTACAGATACACGACTAATGTACGTGTAAATATAAAAACGTGTTTGTGACCTAATTTCCCCTCTGTTGTCGGAGCATAAGTCACATCAAAGCTTCTTGTCTCCTTCGTTCACTCTTCCATGAGAGGACTTCAAAAGATTGGTGGAAAATAGAATAAAATTGTGAGTTTATTTCAATGCAGAGAATGTTTGAAATTCCTACCTAGTTGTGGGGTTTATTTCATGTTTATTTACTTGTTTCATGAGTCAAAGAGACAAACTAACAAGGCAGAGAGATAGTACCCCAACAAGGTCCCGCTGCTGCAGGCTCTCCCGCAGCTTCCGTCCGGCCCCTGGCACGCACATGCCTCGTATCCTCAGGAAGTTCTCCAGACATGGACTGGCCACCTCCCCATGTGCTCTGCCTCCAGAGCTTTGTGCCACTCTCTGGTCCTACTGAATAATTTGTTTGTAGGGTATGTTTTCCATGAACATTTTGGAAACATCTCTTGTATTTATTGAATGAATTAGTGAATGTTTAATTTCTGAAGACAGTTTGTAGTTAGACATTCATGAAGTTAATGAAGACCAGGAGAGCTTTATTACAAGTTACAGTCGGTAACTGGGTAGAAGCCATCTGTGAGTGTTGTACAGATGGAAATGTAGGGCCAGGGCTCACAAAAAGTTTAGTTCAAGTTTCACAGAAGTGGCTGCTGAAGTCCTGGGAGTGGATGGTGGTCAAAGCTGAGCACTGAGGCGGAGGCACAATTAGCTGACGTTGGAACCAAGGCCTCTTATCCATGTGTCCCCGCTTTCTCTCCTCATCATGCGTAATGTTTCCCGCTTTCCATCTCATCCCCCAGATAAGTTCTAAAAATGTTGGTGTCAGCCACAACAGATTACTGACAAATACTTGGCAAGGTAGGGATGATTGAGAATGTAGATCTTTCCAAATATGCCTGCATTTCTAGAAATTTGGAGTTTTTTTGATAAATAAGACACAATACTCAATTTAATAAAGACATGGTAGAATTACTGATGAGAGGAGTTATCTGGTGCAGTGTTTCCGTCCAGGTGTAGCATTCAGCAATCTCCTCACCAACGGTGAATCGTGTGCTTCTGTTTTGTTTTGCAATAACACCCAGGAAAATCTCACATTTTCCAAACCTTCTCATCCCTTTTCCTAGTGAGTGAACTTAATATGGGCTAACACAGAAAATACTAAAAATCTACATGGGAAATGAGCCAGATAAAGTATGAGGGGTGAGTGGAGGATTTCTAGCATGAGGCGAGGCAAGGGGAAAGCCACCAGTTCATGAATAATGGATCACCAGTGCCACCGAAGAGGGTTATTAAAAAGAAAGCTTCTCAGAAAGGTATGAGGGAGCCAATATGAGCCTTTTGGTGGGAGACTTCAGAGCAGGAGCATAGTTACCTGAGGAGTCTCCGCCGTTCCCTGTGGTCAGTCACCGTTTGTCTCAGGAAACGACGAGACTCCAAAGGTAATGGGGACTCCTGACAGAGCTAGGCCACTTCTGGGTGGCACACGTGTGGATCTACTTTATGCTCTGCCATTCTCCTGTGGCAGACCCGAGGAGACAGTCCTAAGGAGGGTTATTTTATTTACATGGTTTCCTGGTACATGCTGGACATGTCAGCATGTGTGAATTGGTTGGATACATCGTGTTATTGCATTTCCCACTGCCGCGTTCTAGAAACTGCTATACCGTCAGCAGTGTGAACTTCAGTAGTAATCCTGCATCTTTTATTATGAATATGCAATGAGATGGCATTGATTTCATATGCTTTATTACTCTCTAGTTATCCTCCGCGTGATACATTCACCATAGCAACCTCATTAAACACATAAGTCTATTAGTCTTCTCTCCATCCCCTTGAAATTAAAAAAAGAAAAAAGTTTAATGGAAATGTTGATGATACTTCACAAAAATATTTGTGACATCATCTTTCAAAAATCTGTTCTGAGCGTGTCCCATGGTTTTACAGCTCGCCTGACATGCTCTTAGACTTGACAGAACTTTGTTCCTATTTTCATTGTAATGTGTATCATTTCATTGCCACTAGTGGGGGGCTACAAATTTCCTTAAATATCAATGGGAAACACATTTCTTAAAATCCTGAATGAATTAATGATCTCTAGTTGATTTTTATTTTTTTAGTCAATGTTCCATACACGTCATTGAGCAACCAAGTACAATAATTATAATTAACGCATGAATTACTTTTTGGAAGTAAGCCATTTGGCTTCTAGTGTCATAACCATTCATATTCCTTTGTTTCCAGCATTTTATACTCCATTTCCTACAGCAAATAGTAACTTATTCTTGAGAAGACCAAGACGTTTTAAAATGTTTTATAGTTTCTATTTTTCATCTGAAGTATGAATAAGGGAATACACATGCTCTATAAGGTACTCCAAAGTTTCTCTCTATTTACAGAACAGCGTTTTTAATTTGGCAAAGTACATCTCTATCAGGACTGACCGTGGTCGCATGAACAGATCAGGTGTGCCCGTGGTCCTGGTGGGCTGCGGGGCTGGGCGGGTCACACCACGAAGAACACGTACAAGGGGCCTCTGCCCCTCTCTCTCTCTCTCCTACAAAATAAACAAACCTAAAATATACGTATACTTTTTTCAGTGAAATATTCAGCCACTTGCAGATGACCGTCAAGGATGCCACGAGTGCTCTGCTTCACCACTTGTCAGTTAGGTTTTGAAGGGAATCTGCAAGACATGCTATTTATGAACCAAAAGCGTCTACGTTAAAGTTCTTCATCAAATCTCATTGGTGCTGGATAAGTTTATTGCAACTTGAAAAAAATAACGTCTACCTTTTAACAATTTTCGAAAAGAGATGGACTTTTCCTTGGCTGACCTAGTTCTCTTTCCCCTCCAGGAGCTGGAATTTTCCAATCTGTTTGCCGTCCTTCACTGCATCCACTCGTTCTTCGCCGCCAAAGTCGCCTGCTTGGACCCTCTGTTTCTAGGCGGCCAGGCCACCGCGCCCGCCGCCGCCGGCTCCGCTGGGACAAGCAAGGCCAAGTACCCAGCCTGACCTGCTGCCCGAGCTCACACTGACTGTGGTCGGCCAGCCAGGAGAGACGTGGCCATTGCAGACCCCGAGACCACCCTTCACCACTCAGCCGTGGAGCAAAGCCGAAATGCCAGCAGTTACAGCGGAGGTCACATGGCAGGGCAAACACAGTTCCCGGAAGGCATCGGTGAACGCCCCCGAGGGGAAGGAACAGCTTGCCCTCCGCGGCTGCTCTGTACCGGTATACCGCTTCACCAAACGGAGACCCAAGGCTGGATGACTTCAAGAAGTATGTAAATGATATAAAAATGTAAGCTACCTATAAATAAAAAATCCAGTTAAATGGTTATTTCTGTATTCTAGATTATTTTGTATGACAACATATGTTGGCCAGACCATGAACTGATGCCCAATCATTATATTATGAATGACATAAAAGACATAAAAACATGGGCAGCGAGGAGCATGCAAAAAATCTCATCAAAGAAAGAAGCACTTTAATTTGCTGATGTGAATTTCCTCCTTGAATTCTCACTCCAGGATTCGATGCTGGCACGTCAGTGTTACCTGATCGTAGAATATTCCTAAGAACTGCAGAGGGGTAATTACATTGGCCCACAGTAGACACCTTGCGAAATGGACCTTCCCCCTGGGATCACACTTACTAAGATGCTTTATTAACTGCCAGTGTCACCAAATATGCCAAAAACGTATTAATTTAAGTATGAATAATGGAAATATTCATGAACCTCTTGTTCTTTCATTTTAAAGAGATTTATATTTTACCTAATGGGATTTATTATCAAATTAAACTTTCATAAATTTTCAGTGACCCCACAAGTTTTTGTAGAGAGAATACTATCAACAAATCTGATGCGAGAAATAATTCTTTGTAATTGTAACTCTAACAGTTACCTGTGAAATGAGCTGTCCCTGTAAACAGTCAAAAAGCTATTATTTATGTTAGCTGAGCAACATATTTTCATTTCAGTGATATTTTTATGAAAAAATAATGTGAGGTTTGAAAATAAAAGTTAAAATCTGTATCTCGCCATATCATGAAAAGTGATTAAGGAATGCCAAACCACGCGCGTTCTTTAAGCATCTCATCTTAAGAACGTAAATGTGAAGGGGCCGGAAGGCGAAAGCTCTGAGGATTTGCCAGAAGACTCAATCCAGACAATATGTCACTCCTGCATTATATAGAAGACATTCTCAATCCTTCCTACAACTTCACTGCTTCTCAACCAGCAGCTGTCTATTAAAAGAAAAAAAACTTACCTTTTCTTCACACATCTGCTCCCAACTAAAGCAAACATTAGTTGTTTCCTTGTGAAGATAACCAAGCAGTTATAACCATTAAAGTGCTTTTTTATTTATCTTTGTTTTTGTTTCTTTAAAAAAAAAAATTACCAGGACCAGCAGTTACCGTAATGGCTATGTCGCTGGACTCCCATGCAGTCGACCGCGGTTCGCGTCCCGGACCGGTGGCTTAAAACTCACGCCGGGCGCGTGTGCAGGCGTGCCCAAGATCCCGAGAGGAGAATGGAGGAGAGGGGATTGCGGAGTGGCCATCCCCCCTGGGGGTGATTTCTCACTTTCTGTCTCTCTGTCTGGCAAGCGCATACACCCTATAGCAAAAAACCTCTCAAAAAAGAAAAAAAAAATTACCAGAAATCCCGCATGCTCACAAGGGACAGAGAGAGAGAGAGAGAGAGAGAGAGAGAGAGAAGTGAGAAAACTCCCTCATCAGGAGCCGCAAGCCTTTCTCCTCCATTTCTCCCATCTTTCAGGATTTTGATCACACTTGTGCACGCACTCAGTGTATTTCTCGTTTCCAGGTCTGGGAATCAAACTGCACAATTGGCCGTGTGGGATCTAGCTGTCTTAACCACCATGCCAGGGCTAGTCCTGAATCTTCTATTTAAAGAAGAAGGAAATCAGATTATTTGTGTAAAAATTAAACATTCATTAAATTAAAATATTAACTTCAAATTTTTTCCACTGCCATTATGAATTATGAGTTCACTTGCATCCAGTTAATTCTTAAGTATATTAAATGCAAAAGAAAAAGTGAAGGTTTATAATTGTACTTGGGAAAGTATTACATTGGCTCTAAGATACCTTCTCAAAAGAACTGTGGAAAATTGGACCATAAGCAGTTCGAATTAATTGAATTTGATCATGAAATCAAATATATATTCATAACTAGGGTAGCTGTTGGACTGAGTGCTCTCTGTGTTGACTGGACGTGGAGTCGTTCTAAAACTAGAAGCCCACCAGAAGGGAGCTCCAGCAGGCCCAGTCAGGACCCTTCTGAACTAGCGCAGGACAAGCCAGGAGGTGGCCGCTGCAGGCTGCACGCCGTGGTCAGTGGTGGACCACGAACCTCTGCTGTGGCTGAGGTTGAATCTCAGTGTGCCCCATACCAGGGCAGGCTCACAGTGTGATGATCTGGTCTCCAGGTAGTGTGACATGGCCAGTGACCTGGAAGGAATGCAATAAAAGGTTTGCAACTACATCCGTGTTACAGAAGCATTAAAAATGAGTCAAATTTTATAAATGATCCTTTTGAAAATTCTAAACCCGGATTGATTAAATTTCCTCTTTGTTATATTGTAAAAATCTAGCCTATACTCATGTATGTGATGAAGGAAAAAGTGCACAACTGGATATGTGTGAGCATATATCTGCTTGTAGAACACACACATATGTGTGTATACGTACATATACATATCATGAAATGCTGATCATACATTGTATCAAAATACGTTTGTGCACATACACTTAATGTACCTTCAATTATGTTACAAATTGTAGTTTGAATTGAAACTTATGACAATACCATTATTGTGACTATTTTTAACACATCGATTTAAAAAAAAATTTAAACCAAGCCTCAATTGTTATTTAAGTGACTAGAACAGCTACCAATTAGGATACTACTACTCAGATTTCCATCAGTTTAACATGTAGTATTTATTATTTTTTTTAGTGTGATGATTAACCATTTGTTATTACTTAGACTACTCGAATGAGATTGTTTAGAAAAGAACAAAAATACTCATGAATTTTCATTTCTCACGTCAGTTAAGTTTAGATGCCTGAGTTTTCATCCAGCCCTAAGTTGTACACGGAGCACAATTCAACAGCAGAATGCTCAGTTTTGTGTTGATCCAGTGCCTTGGCGTGTGTGTGTGTGTGTGTGTGTGTGTGCGTGTGTGACCATTGGTGGTTCTGGAACAGTGTATGCAGTACCAGCTTAAAGGAGAACACTGTAGGTATTTAGGTCAGAGAGAGGAGATCACACCATTGGAAAACTCTAACCTGTTGCTTCAATACCTTTTGCCTGATAAAGGAGAACGATTCACTTAAACTGAAGAGTGTGAAAGCGGGGCATTTCTAATTGTTCTGTCGCACACGAACTGACTGCAGAAACACTTCGGTAGCCAATGCGAGTAGCGCGTGTCCTCCATCGCTTCCTCTCTCACATTCGTTTCCGGAGGAGGACAATCAGCAGACCCTTTCTTGCCCACATTTTAGGCAAGAACTAACCTATAGTTCAAAACCTTCCCTCACACAACTGTCATTGAAGAGCAAGAAAAAAAGCAATGACTTGGAAATAAATGCCAAGTCAATATTAGCCATGCAAGCAGAGAAATTTTCCTTCAGGTTCATTAGCTTACAGGTCAGCTTTTTCCTCATTTACACGACAAAGCTTTTCCATCAACTTTGTCTACATGGAATTCCGGACTTAGGAGAAGCTTGATATATTACTGAGGAAAAGTGATCATCCGAACAATGATTTAGAATTACTGCTAGAAGTCAGCAGTGTGGAGAAGCTTTAAAACACAAGGATGATCTTGTGCCTAACTTGGCAAGGTAAGTGTCGATGCTCCGATATGAATGCCGACGTGTTGCTGTGGTTAGCCATGAGCACTGCTACACTCCCCAGCTCTCCTTAGAGAATCGCTGTACCCATCCCTCCACAACTGCTGGTTCCGAGCTGTCTCATTCCTTACTACTTTAAAGACACCATGCCACTTCTTTGCACATTTGAATTTGCTTTTAAAGGTAAATAAAATATTATAAATGTTATATATTTTATACATATTAAAATGCAATGAGAATATCAGAAATATCAAGTGTAAATATATTTATTTCATTTTTAATTGTTTTGGTGGATGTTTGTAAAATGTAAATTGATATTTGTGACAGAAGCTTGTCACTTCATTCTTTCAGTTCATTAATGTACTACTAATACGGCTGTACCTTTTCTAACGAAGCATACTAGAAAATAAAAAGAAATACTTTTTATTAAGTGTGTGTTTTCACTTCTTTGGACTTAATTTATAAGTTGCATATCTGTTTTAAATATCAGCCTTGAAAACTTAACTACAATGAAAAGTATTACGGCTGTCTACGATGAAGTACGTGCTATGTGTGACATTAGGTGTGTCTGGTTCATGGACATTTAGTAAGACTAAATATTTGACCCCTAACAGGCTGCAAAGATTGAAGAAAAAATGTTATTGGCCCAATTGCTTAATAAATGAGTTGGAACTTACTTTTTAAGAATGATTCATTTATTGAATTCCATTTTTAATTATTATTTTTTAAATTAGACCAGAAAGAGACAGAGAGAGGAAGAGAAAGTGAGAAAGCGAGCCACCAGGTCCAGGACTTGAACTGCGGTCAGCTGTGTGGGAGTCTAGCACCTTTAACACCATGCCACCTACCAGCCTCGAGTCAGAACTTTCTAAAGCGTGACCACTGGCATGTTTCTTATGTTCCGCTGAGTGGATCTGAGAGCACTGGACTGAGAGGGCATCATTATCTGGTCATCTGTCATTGAGAAGTGATTTGACGCTTTATGTCAGACAGGAGCACAACCATCTTACAAGTAATTACAGTGTCATACAAGTGAGTGATCATCGAAATTATTTTAGAATAATTCTCATACTTATATCATTCTACATAGTTGTGAAATGAATTTTTTTACCTCCTCTCATTTTTTTAAACTCTATTGAAGCGATAATCCATGCTCATGAGAGGTAATTTAAATAATTAGAAAGAATACAAGGAAAACAAATAGGTATCATATTAAATCTCACCACCATGAAAATAAACATAATTCATTTTAGATGAACATTGCTCTGTTCCTACATCTTTGATACAGAGGGAAATACAACATGGAGGACAAAACTAGAAACAAAAGAGAGAAAGAGTTTTTATCATGGACTCCCACGTGGCAGAAAACAGTTCAAACCCCAGGCCCAGGAGACTGAAAGTCACACCAGAACACTGTTTAACCAGCTTTCACAACTGCTAAGTTCGAGTCCCTGTACTGAATGCCTCCATAGATGTCGATAAAATCTCCCTGTGGTGTTGCAAAAACGTGCAAGTCTTGTTTGTTACTGCTGCAAAATGTCTATGAAAACAGGTATCATCAAGGAGCCTTAATAATTCAACTCAGGGAATTTTAATGTAAGGGAAGGGGGCCAGTGGGTGGTGTGACATGGAGGATTCCGCATGACCAACTCCAGTTCAAGTCCTGGACCCTGCAGCTTGAAAAACATGGGGCACATGCGAGTTTGTGCCCAAAATCCCTAGAGGAGAATAAAGAGAAGGCATAGCAGGGTGGCCATCCCCCCAGGGGGTGATTTCTCTTTCTTTCTCTGTCTCTCTGGCAAACGCATGTGCCTTATAGTAAAAGTTAAAAAATAAAAAGTCAGACGTCTGGATTGTGGTCCATTTCCCACATGTGAAAATCAGGGGGAGGACGCCATCACAGTGCTGTGATCTAAGCTCCGACCTTATTCAGACGGCCCCAGTTTTTACGACACTCACAATCTGCATCGTGCAGTGGCTCTGACAGGCAGGTTTCATGTCGTCACCGCCACAGCGAGGATTGGAAAAGTGCCGTCATCACAAAGTCACTCTCTTATGAGACCCCTTTTTAGTCCTGTACTCCACCCTGCTAGTCCTGGCAACCCCTGACCTACCCCTGTCACGGCAGGGTGGTCCTTCTGTAACTGTTACACCCCGAATCATACAGTTCGTTCCATTTATGAAACGAATCTTCTCGTTCAGCGCAAAGCCCTGGAGATCTGTCCAAGTCACTGCATGTATCAATGCCTTGCCCCTGTCACTGCCATGTTTGGGATGAGTATCCCTTATCCACAATGCTAGAGACCAGTCTTTCAAATTTTGGATTTTTCAAGTTTGGAATATTTGCACATACATAAGGAGCTGTCATGGGGACAGGAACTACATAAAAATGTGAAATCTATTTATGTTTCACACGCACATATGCACGTGACTGGGACTGTGACCGATCACGTGAAGTCAGGGGTGGGACTTCTCCACTTGTGGATCACATCGGCACTCAAAAAGCTTCTGAGTTTAGAGCAC